TCAAGAAATGTTGCTTTTTTAATTAAACTCTAAATTGTGATAAATAAATAAAAAACCAAAAAAACTGAAGGCTACAGTGAACTGACTAAATAGGACATTTTTCCTCCAAAGAAGTGACAAAGTAAATGTCACTTAAATGAAAAACAGGAACTACAAGCACAACAAGCATCTGGCGGCTCCCTCAAGACATGACACGCACGTCACTGCACAGAGATGTCCCATCCACAAACATTTAGTGAGTATTTTCTTTCCCCATGTACATAAACAATGTCTCGGACAATTAGCCCCCCCTCCCAAGGGCGGAGGCCTGAATCCTGCTTTTCACCCTCTTCACATAATGAAGAGACAGAGGGTGTCATGTCTGGACTTGGCAATGTGCTACAGACATTAGAGTTAGAGTATTAAATGGACTAACTGCCAGCTTCATCGTCGAGGAACACCGGTGTCTGAGCCCAATGATTACCGCGGCCCCACACAAAAATGACATTTGTCTGACAATAAAATTGGATACTAACCTGTCTGAAAGCTGTCTCCATTTGCCTAGAACAAATGTTGGCGTCGCCGAACAGTTTGACACACTTTCCCCTTGAATACATAGAGAAGGCGAAGCCATCCTTTGGCTCACGGTAATGGCCCCTCATTGTTGGCCGCAAAGGATGTGGCGCTATTCATATTGATGATTGAAAAGAAAATTGAATCCCTTTTGATGTGATAAATGTGTCTATTACTGCATTTGCACACAAACTGTCGGTGGAAATTATAGTGGGGAGGCAGGGCTCAGAGGGGAAAATACATAGGGATGGCATATTTGCTATCCTTGATTTGAGCTGAAATATAAATATACTGTACCGGCAGATGAAATGAGTCCAACCTCCTGGATTTTTCCTCAGGAACTTTACAAATGAAAGGCCTTGAGAGCCCCAATTGTAAGACTATATAAAAAGGTTAAATGTCTGAATAGCTTTTTCTATCTTTTCTCTCCAAAGAGCTGTTTGATAAAGGACACCAGCAACTGTTTGCTTCGTAATAAAAGGGAATTTTCTCCTTTCAGAGACTTAAGTTGAAGATGTGTACAAATTTCTAAACACACTGGCATTTCATCTGCACACATTATTTTTATGTGGGGACAACACAGGTTCATACTTTGACTAATGACATGCACAAAAAGCAACCTTCTCCTTCAATACACACTTCCACTGTATTTTAATAACCATTATTCCATCAGAAAGAGTCTGTTTTGGTGTTAATAAACCTAACCTGCCCTTGAATAAGAGTTCAGATTTGTTAAAAACTTCTCAAGAAGTTTTCTCAAAGAATGTCTCGCAATAATTGACATTCACAACATTTTAATGTGACTGAATATTTACTCACAACTCCCCGACAGGATTACTTTTGTAATTAAAAGATCAAGGTCACCCATGCAAAATGCTTCTTTACAGGACACGACCAACATATTAACCAGTACAAGTCAGGTTCTGTGTGAAAATGTTTTAATCATATAATGCCCCTATTCCCTTTCTGTTTCACAATTCAAATCTTCAATTATATTTTCTATCATTCTAATTATCAGAGGTGCCACTATACATCTTTCCCAGCAGTTTTTAATATTTAGGTTATTTTAAAGATCTAAGTGTGTGGTCAAGACAGGGGTGTTGCAATAGGTAGGCAAAGAAGGCAATTACCTGGGACCCCAAGCTGAGAGGGACCCCAAACAATGGCAGTCCACAGCAACAACAATATTGTGAATTATCAGCTATCGGAGAGTGAAACAACACCATGATTGGAAAACCACCTAGCACAGCCCCACTATAGCTTTCTGAACAAGCTTTACATTATAGAGATTTGATTGAAGCCTAGAATACACGTTTTCCAGTTAAACGGTGCGTGGGAATGAGTCAGGTGCATAGTGAAGAGTAGTTGTATAGTGTCTTCATTAGTCATGGGCGTGTTTTGTGTGTAACATGCAATAAACCAATCAGAGTGTCATCCCATTGGTGTGCACCTTGGTGGATTTCTGGATTTGTTTTACTTTTTGAACAAATGGTAAAAACCTGAAGACATTTACAGCAGCCTCAGCTCAACTTTGTGTTTAATGTTAGTTAGCAAACTTAGCATGCTAGCACACTGATGGAGGACATGGGGAACTTGTCATTCTTTGTCTCAGCATGTTAGCATTTACTTATTTTAAGCATGCTAACAGTAGCATTTAGCTGGCTCACACTGTTCATCATGAATTGATCTCTATTCAGCCCAAACCTCATAAATTATACTATTATGTAATTCTGCTTGTAGAGATCCTTTGGTGCCCAACCTTAAAAATAAAAACTGAAATAATTGGGTTCTAAACACAAAGACCATCCAGCTTTCACTTGGCTTTGCTTTTTTCCCCCACCTCCAATATGGAATGTCAACAGTTTTATCCTTTAGTAAGTTCAAAGTAAAAAAAAACATAACATAAAAGTTTATGAAATTCTCATTTATTGGATCAATCATTTGTTTATCCAGAAATCATGGACAACAGTTTGTTTCCACATTAAGCAAAAGTGGGTGAATATAATATTTTACCAGCACCAACACATAAACTGCAAGTAATACAATCCTATTCTCTTCTCCTTCTAATCGTTTTATTTTTACATTTTGTTGAACAGATAAAGGTCATGATTCTTTTGCCTCATGACCCTTAGTCTAGGAAATGTTAAGAAGTCAGGAGAAAACTCCAGCAACATTAACTCATACTGGTAGCCTACTTTGTTGATCCTTTCATAAATGATTAATTTTCAAGGCCCAAAGGCTCAACGATAATGCCTGCATTCGCCATATTACAATGAGTGAGGAAATAGAAAAAGGAGAGAAGCCTCACATACAGATCACGAATTTGTCAGAGAAGTGTCATAACAGTATATAGCTATATCTGCATGCATGATATATTGTGTGTATGTGTGTGTTTGTCGTCTTCCTCTTGTTTAGATGTGCTTGAAAGTAAATACTGTAACAAGAACACTGACTCCACTATTTTATTCTGCTGCCTGCCCCTTACATTTTTAATCGAGACACTCATCTCTCTTTCAATACACAACATCTTTGATGATGAGATGCCCTTTGATGGAAAGTGAATTTCATTTGCGTCTAAAAGCTTGCAAAGCATTCAGTTCAAGTCGATCACCACATTCGTGACTTCTAGGCAATTATGCAAAATGGTAAACATTGGCCCAACTTCTAAATAATTGAACAACTGAAAACATGCTGCTCCAATGTTTATGAAATTCGTTTTGTGTTTACAGAGTGATCATGTTGAAATGTTCCATGGCATTGAGCGAGCGTAACAGGCCATGTTTGAATCAACTAATTGTATGATACTGAAATGGGTGCTCTGGATCACACGATGACTCAGGTCAGACAATAGACTCCACCCTGAGTCACTGCTGCTGCACACGAGCCAAATGTAATACATCTGCAAAGTATTTAGAGAAGTAAAAGTCGTTTTGTTGGCCTGATTTTGGCATAAACTGGCTTTTTAGCTTGAATTGAGTTAAATGAAGTAAACTGTAATCTAAATTCTGCATATGGCATGACACGCTGCAGAGATGTTTGCAGCATACTCAGTTTGTATGTCAGAACAGAGCGGTGGGGCTCGGCTAAAGTGACTTTAGAGAGAGTTCAGTTTTAGGAGAGAATATTAAGCTATCACACTTCAAACTGCTACTTGTTTGAATACATAACGAGAATCCAATAAAGAAAAGTTAATTAATTGCAGGTTATTTTGTTTGTGTGTGGCAGTTTAATGAACACTCAAGGATTTTTTTCGACCGATTTAATTTTGTTTTCAATGACTTCTTTACATCTTACAGTAAAATTTGGTCTTTATTTCATGTAGCACTGTGCCTCCATCGTTTCTAGGTTAACTGCACCTTGGAATGGCTTCGATGCAGCATGGTTGAGTAGTTAGGCAGGTAAATAAACGATCATGTTTCAGTGCAGAGCTTCAAACTCAACATTTGTGTCTATCAATTCACGTTGTCTGCTGCAGAGTAACCGGTGGTTAATATGTAAACTGAGCAGCAGTGGGGATGAAGAAGCCCATAGGAACATTGGCCCCTGATAAGCAAGCTGGGCTGCTGCTGGTCACTGGACATTCAAGTGGACAATTTCAGTGACTTGCAGACACAACTGTTGGCACTTGAATAGTTGTGTTGAAGTAGATGTTAGCGCTCTATTGTATATTTTCACCGATGTTTGGCTGATGTTTTGAGGAACTGATTAGACTGGAAATAACTCAGCTGGACATAGAACAGAGAAGGACTTTGGTCTGAAACTCTGCACCTCAAAATGTCTTTTTTGAAAATGGATGCTGGTGCTGGGAAGAGGCTCCTCCATGTGGACATCCGTATTGATGAGCATGAACCTTGGAGAGGAATCCTGGAGCTTCTCAGCAGACTCCGTCCTCGTTGGAAGGCACAGGACATTCAGATGAAGGTAGGTGAATGTTTCTCCAGATGTATGTGTAACCTGGCATTCTTTGAGCCTGTCAACATCAAGTTTGTATGCTTCTGTTTGTAAAATCTTCTCCAGTTGGTAGTTCAATCGTGAAGAACATTAACTTTATTCCTTGTGAAATAGTGTTTTATAGTGTTTATGTGTTTTATATTTCGATTTACATTTGCCGTGGGCTGATCGACCTTCACAATCTTACTACAGATATTTGTGTCAGCTTTAAGGGATCAAGTTTTGGGTGTTTTGATCAGATATTGACTCCAAGAACAGGAATGTTAAGGCCTCACTGGTGCTTCTTTCACACAGTGTCGGCAAGACAACTTGGGAGTGTACATACATGATCCCAAATGAACCTAAATGAAGTATTATTTTTTTTACCTCGGCCAAGGATGTTATGTTTTCATTGACTTTTTTCTGTTTGTCTGTCTGTCTGACAGCAGAATTACTCAAAAACTACTCAACTAATATCCATGACATTCTGTGGAGGAGTATGACCCAATAAGAGCCTATAAATGTGTTTTGGGTAAGGCTCTG